TCACTCTAAGTTTCCCCCTTATGCCCCCACCTACTGAAATCAAGATCCTTCAAAGCATGATCCTTCAAAACATGGGGTATCTAGACTAGAGCTCTCATGTTCCACCTACAAGGAATCCAAAGATGTACAGTGGAAAGTACTGTTATGTGTGCAACCTTTTGTTCAAGAAGTGTGGGACCTGAAGTCCCAGCACACTGACCCAGGACTCAGCTTCCTTGAAAGAGGAGTGGACAAAGTATGGGGTTCCACTGATTGTTGTAAGTTGTTTGCTCTAGCTGCAACTTACTGGTAGATTTCACTCTAAGTTTCCCCCTTATGCCCCCACCTACTGAAATCAAGATCCTTCAAAGCATGATCCTTCAAAACATGGGGTATCTAGACTAGAGCTCTCATGTTCCACCTACAAGGAATCCAAAGATGTACAGTGGAAAATACTGTTGTGTTTGCAGCCTTTTGTTCAAGAAGTGTGGGACCTGAAGTCCCAGCACACTGACCCAGGACTCAGCTTCCTTGAAAGAGGAATGGACAAAGTATGGGGGGAGGTCCTAAAGATGGTTACTAGACCTCCTGGTCCCCTCAGGCTCCCCTGCCCTCCTGGCAGCAAACTAGTCTTTCCCTGTATGGACATTGGTTGCCATTCCTGAAACCCTCCAGAAGCATCTGTTTTCTTTCCAGAGAGGTTGGAGAACCCGCTGAAGTTGGCTCCCAATTTGTTGGTTGTTGGTGAGGGTTTTCTTTTTCAGTTTTGCACATTTTGTTGGTGGTCTGGGAACCTGCTGGAGCATCTTGAGGGCAAAACTGTGGCCTCAGAAAGCTGCCCTCCTCTATTAGACAGAGATTACTGGAGAGTTTTGGTACTTCTGAGCTACCCCCCCATTTTTTCTTAAACATACATATAAGACCAACATAAAATGGAGAATTAGGTCCTTCATTATATGGCTGTTCCCATCCATTTTTTACTTCTTTTCAGTCTCCTTTTCAGCAGCTTCCAATTGTGCGTGCAGCACTCACTTCTTCTTCCCCTTATCTAATGGAAATGGATTGACTCAATAAAGGAAACCACAGCCTTGAATTTACCTGACTTGAGCAAGCAGTTGATGACATGATATTCCAGAGGTTTGACTTGAGAACTTAATCCGTATTGGAAGGTGGTTCTCAAGTCAAAAAGTTTGCAGGTCAAATCTGCATTTCCCATAGGAATGCATTGAAAACCATTTGATCCGTATCTGCTCTTTTCCGTCCATAGAAACTAATGGGAAGCTGCTATTCCGCCTTCGACCACTAGAGGGGGATATTTTGTTTCTTTTTTTCTTAGGTCAAGAAAGGGTTCAGGGAAGGCAGGGAAAATACAGTCCAGGCAGTACCAGGCAGTCTGAAGACTCCCAATCCACCATCAATGGCAAGATATTTGTGAAGGCTTTCACGGCTGGGTATACTTTATTTGTGGGTAGCTGTTTTTCCTCTCCAGTTTGGTATTGTTTTCTTGGTTTGATGGCTCTTGTGATTTCATTTTTGGAGTAGCCATAAAGTATTTTTGCCATACATCAAAGGGGTCACGGACCGCATGTAGAAACTTATGAAAAAACACAACCTACAAACAGTATTGAAGCCCACCACAAAAAAGCAACAACAAATGTTACGGTCACCAAAGGACAGAAGGGACTCCCTCACCACTGCAGGAGTATACAGGGTACCTTGCAGTTGTGGCCAGGTATATATTGGAACCACAAAACGAAGCATCCACACAAGAATTAAAGAACATGAGAGACACTGCAGACTAAAACAATCAAAAAAATTGGCAGTAGCTGAACATGCCCTGAAACAAGTTGGACATGAATTCTATTTCAAAATACTGAAATACTGGACAACACCAGCAATCATTATGTTAGACTGCACAGGGAAGCCATTGAAATCCACAAACACCAGCAGAGCTTCAA